ACCATAGTTTTTTTCAAGCATTGCTATTCCCTCTCCGTTTAACCACCTTCATTTGAATTTTGCAGATTCAATGATATTCATACATTCTACTCTGAGCTACTACAAATGATGGGAATATTAATACTCCTCCAAGTAGAAAGGGAGCCAGGTGATATAGTCAGTAACAGTAGCTTCCTAGGACTCTGAATAGCATTCATTCAGGAAGTGTACTGCAAAGAGTTTACTTTGCAGGTCTTGATTTCTCAGCTTGCACATTCCCAAAAAAAGGCTCATGTTCTTATATTCAAGATGGGCTCATACCCGTCTCCTAAGAGCTGAGTTCCAATCTTTTGGAATACAGTGCCTAATAAGAGGGTTTTTGTATATCTGAGGTCTTGGTCCACAGTAGTTTAGCCAGATAGTTTATGTTATCAATGTGATTTACCATGATCACCAGTTTTTGCTCTGAGGGTCTGGAGTCTGGGTAGCTGAGGTTAGTCAAACAGGCTCTAGACATCTGTGTGATTGAGCCCTAACAATAACCCAAGACATCAAGGTTCAGGTGAGCTGGTTGATAAAACTGCATCCTGTCACACATATCCTTGCTAGGAATATTAAATAAATCCTGTGCAACTCTACTGGAAGAGGACCCCTGCAAGCTTGCAACTGATCTTTTGTGGGCTACCCTTCATAGGTCTTTTCTCTCTCCTTATTTTAATCTGTATTATTTTGTTATAATAAACCACAACCATGAGTCTAGCAGCTTCTGAGTCCTGTGAGTCCTTCTAGTGGATCATCAAGTCTCAGAGTAGATGCATAAGAACAATCAGTAAGACATTGTGAATAATTTGGTAAAACAAAATTTATATTATCATTGCAATAGAAATTTCTTTGTAAAATATTTTTTCCTTAATCTTGAATGTACAAGTATAGTTAAAATTCCAAAATATCACATGAAAAATAATTTACTGGAATTTATTTCTCCCATTTAAATGTGACTTTAAATTACACTATTAAAGATATTGAAGATTATATTAAAGATATGTAACTAAAATCCAGCCATATAGATCAGAGCTCTAAGTTTCTACTCTTGTAGGCATTTGTCTTTCTCTTTGTTTTAATGAGGATATACCAATAGTAATAGCTTCATCTGCAGTTGGCCACTATATACTTTTTTTCTCCTGCAATTTTTGACGTAGTTGGAGTGAGGCCATATGCAACAGGGTCTTTAAGCAATTTCCCTCTTCCCAGATTTGCCATGCAGTATCTTTATTCTCTATAACTCTCCATTCCTACCTCTTCCTGGTTACACTCTTATCCTGACTATGTTAAAGCTACCTTTGTCATTTCCCCAGCACCACAAGCCATAGTTTTTATCAAGCATTACTATTTCCTCTCCTTTAAACCACCTTCATTTGAATTTTGCAGAATCAATGATATTTACACATTGTACTCTGAGCTACTACAAATCAATGTGAATATTAATATTCTTCCAAGTAGAAAAGGGTTATAAACAGGGAATTATAAAATAGGCCTCTAAGAAAACCCCAAGGAATGCAAATTAAAATGAGACACATATATTCAACAGTCAAACTGGTCACAAAATAAAAACTATTTATTATAGCCAAGTTGCCAAGGATGTATGAAAATTATATATGTTTTATTATGTTAGTGAAGTGGTGTACAGACGCTACAGATGAAACCGTGAATGCAATTCTATTGCTGGAGGAAGTCCTAATTTACCAAGTCTCCAGCACACCCACATTCACACAACACGCAGTTACACTATATATCAATTATACATATATCATATATATGCATACATGTAAGAATTATTACACTGTGGTGTGTGCTAAAGAATACATGACTAAGTGGCAGAGTTAACAATACTATTTACATGTTATTAATAACTTGAATCTGATTTCTGTGATAGGATGTCTCAGCTCTCCAGATATGGAACCATTGACATAACCTTTCTATTGTTCTCTTTCTTAAACTATGACACTACTTTCTCATCGGAAAAAGAGAATCAGTGATACTTGTCTCAATATCAAATGCTCTATTTTTCACTTCCTATTGGCGTCTTTTCTTTGGAAAAGCAGAGAGTTAGGGCTTGAGTGAATCCTAGAATCACAAAGATACCTATACAATCTTAGGGAAATTAGTTATGTGGACTTTGGAAGTAAATAGATCTATTTCCCATATTTTTTCAAAATGATGTTTGTCAATGAGAGAGTTATTTAATTTTTCTCTGTTTTTATTTTATCATAATATTTTAAAAATATATTGTGAAAATTAGTAATAATAATCCAAATGTTTAGAAAAATGCTTCAGTGGAGAGTTTAGTCATCATAAATTTTAATACTAAAATGAAGATAATAGCACCAGCAAGTAGATTATCCACAGATTTACTGCCTAATCATCAATATTGAGAAATAGTTTAGTTATCTTTCCAAGGTGTATAACAGAATATACCAAAATATAACAGAATAAAGAATACTCTTTGAGATGAGAGGCCATAACTTCAATATAGTCAGATATTTGTGTATCTAAACCAGCCAAGCAAGGAGAGGAGTGTGTACATGGCATTGCTGGATGTATCCACTAATTATCCCAGCTGACAACCTGAAAATGAGAACAACTGTAGCCACTACATCAGGATATTTTGGGAATTTGAAGACTACTGACATACTACTAGGTTCCACTGATGTTGGGATACCAATTTTAATGAAGTCACAATGCAGTTAAAAACAAAGATTGGTTGAATTCAATTTCTATTTTAACACAAGGCTACCACTTCACACTACCTTTAGTTGGCACTTTTGTCAAGAAAAGACAGAAAATATCTGGAAACATGGATTCCAAAATAATGTCATTAAAAGGACAATAAAAGCACCACAATTTGTGTGACTCCAATAAATACCACATTATAGTTATTAGTTTTTCTTTATTCCTAAAATTGTTCACTTATATGATGTATATTTTTATCTGTATTTTTGAGATTCACAAAAATGAAAGATCTATTCCTATATGTTTATTTGTAATAACAAAATGGCCTGTGAATTCAAAGATAATTACGTTAAAATAAATTTTTAAA